AGTTTCAATCCATTTCATCATATATTCACGAATTCACCATTTTCAATCATTTAAGCATTAACCATTTTTTCCAATTCATCATGAATGAGTGTGACTAACATATAACGGTTTTAATTCATGATTACTATGAACGTGTTCATTCCAGAATCGAATCATAATGCTCTGAAACCAATGTAAGAGTTTTATGCGGAAGCGTTTAAAACCGAACACATACCTTTGCCCGGTTTAGCGATGAATATGACTCGGTATGATCTGAAAACGGACGCAGAGATCGGGGAAAATATCACAGATGAAAATCAACCACTTATCACCGTTCAAATGCCCTTCCAATTGATCTCTCCAAGGTTTCTCTCTCTAGAACGTTTTCTCTCTCTTCTGTAATTTCTTTGTTTACCAACAGTCACAAACTGCTGTAAACAGACACAAGAAATCTTTCTGCAATGTCTCATTTATATACTTATTGAAGAGACATCATCTGAAGAGTCACAATTCTTCATATATAGAGTTATAATTATAACTGCCGGTTTAATCAATTGGTTCGGTATGCTGTCAAATCATGGGCGCAAACCGACCATAAACCAATAACATATTAATCTGAATCTGCAAGTTGATCAGTTAATGATCCATGGACGACACAATCCCGGTTCAGCCAGAAAAGAAGATTTTTACTCACCGTGTTCGATAAATAAAAAAATAAAAAAATAACACGTGGAAGCATATTTGTGTGATACAGAGACGTGCCCAAGATCAAAGTGAAGGATCTCTTCTTGCTAACCTCGTATCGATAAATAATATCACACAAAAGATATAAAACATTAATTTAAATCGAAGTCGGTTTATTAATATCAGATCGAAAGATTACAATTGAGTTTGATTTACGAACTTAAATATTAACTATCAGAACTTAGAAATCAGAATGCTAAGAACATTTCCAAGCTCTTTGATCTTCGAGTATCTTGCGGTAAATTTGTGTTCTTTGAGAAATCTCTTCTCCTCCTTATATATGGAATCTATGTCGTCTTAAGCATGTTTCCTTAGCTCTCCCTCGATGTGGGTTCTCTTTAAGTCGAAAGAGGAAAGTTTCATTTTTCTTTTGGACGGAGTCCACCAACCTTACCATCGTGGGCCTAGGTCTGTCCCAGGTGAGAGATGACGATGCAGGGCTAATTGGCCGTTCAGAGTTTGCACTAGTTGATGTAACATGCACAGACGATAGCTTGGTTACCCTTTAGCGTTTAGACTCTGTCCGGGATTGGGAACTTAAGACATTGGTGGTAAGTGGACGCAATCGCTTTCATTGCATGGAGCCAAGGGTGCCCAAGATGGCGTTGAATTATATGACCGGCTTGTCGAGGATGAGAAATTGAATGATTGGCTACATCGACGATATAGATTGGGATCATGATCGTGTCGACAGTCATACAACATTCTCCGTTGAATCTTGTCAGTGGCTCGATGAATGGTTTGATCTTTTAGGGAAGTATATCGAGTTGGTCGAGCGCAGCTTTGAAGATAATTTTAACTGAGCTGCATGTGTCGATCAGGATCCGACTGACTTCAACATCTTCGAGAAGGAGTTCGACGACTAGAGCGTCATTACGTGGCATGTGTAGGCCGATGGTGTCAGCGTCATTGAATACTAGTGGAGTGCTCTTAGCGGTGACATTTTTGAATTTGGGTGTGGAGATGGTTTGCTTGCCATATTCCTTGATGGCTCGAACAGAGTAATTGCATGTCTCGATGGTGCTCATCATTACTCTTTTCCAAGCTTCGGGAGGGGGATGCGGGTATTGCACGGTGTCTTTGCAATCATGCTTCTGCTATTGATCGGGCTGTGCTTAGGGTTTTGGTATGTTCGGTGGAGGTGCTTTGATGGTAGGTTGTTCCTGTGGTTTTTAGCAGTTTGTGTATTAGGAGAGTAGGTGATCTTGCCGTTGCCTTTCTGGGAGCCAGGCGGCGCACTAGATCGTCGTACAAGATAAGGCCTTTACAGAATTGGTCCAGCAGGTACTCTCTCAGATGCCAAAATTCTTTGCTGTTTTGTCCCTTACGTTCGTGGAATTCACAAAATTGTAAGTCATCCATGTCGGTTCAGTTCCACCTGTTCCATGGTTTGTCTGATTGCTAGACTGCGTTGACATTGTTATTCCCGAAAAATTTTCCTCTGTCGTATCCTTTTGCATATCCTTTTGGAGTTTGTGTGCTTCACTTTTGAGTCGGTCGGAGATCTGCTTAGGTGTGAAACTCTGATCGTAAGCTGTCTCTTCTACCTCTTCAGCAGCGATGTAAGTGTTGGCGCGGTGAAGAGCGACTTCTAGGGTGTGGGGGGGGGGGGTTACCCTTCAGTGACCGCCGAAATGCCGACTTGACCAGAGATGCCTTAGGCATTCTAGGGCAGTCTCGTTACTGACTATGAAGTGAGTTACAACCGATTTGAAACGATTAGTGAAGTCCTTAAGGCTCTCGTCGCTGCCTTGCTCATTCCTCATGCATATTCCAAACTAGGTCAGGAAGTCACAAGGCTCGGTGTCACCTTCGTACGTCTTGATCTTAAATTTTTCAAGGTGCCAAGCTGAAGTGCTGGCGAATCTTGGTGTGAATGGCGTTTTTGTGTCTCTTGAATGACACGGTCTATTCAGGGGGCTGTGCTGGTTTCCATATGCACCTGAGAAGTGATTTGACGCAATTGTGCTTTCATGCTCTCGGATTCGGCATCATGAGAAAGTTCTTGATGGAGGGCTGACACGGCTGTCACTCCTTGTGTCGTAGAAAGAACCGTTGCCGCGGGTTCTTGCTCCTGATTGAGGTCGTTGATGATGTAACGAGCTCGCAAAGGAGTTTGAGATTTGCTGAGCTCGGCTATCTGAGCTGCCATTAAGCTAAAGCGCTCCTCGCTTTGCTTAGTCACCATCTCGATCTGAGAGATGAATGCTTGCAGTATGTTAGCATCGAGTGCTCCGGCTGTGGAGTTTTCAGTGGGAGGATGGGGAAGAGGGGGAGGTGGTGTTTGCCCTCTTACCTCCTTGGAAACGGTGTGATTACCCTTCTCAGTGTTCTCCTCATCTCTTTTCCTATGAAGGAGATTTGCTTCCATGTTGTCAGGCGAATTTGTCATTTCCAACTTGAAACTTTCCGCTCTCTGATCTAAATGACTGTTTAAATTTTTTGAAAAGATTCTCTACAGCTCCGATCTAAAGGACTGTTTAAATTTTTTGAAAAAATTCTCCACAGTCGGTGCTAATTGTTGATAATTAATATCGGGAGTTAAAACAGTAATTTAGATCGAAGTCGGTTTATTAATATCAGATCAGAAGATTACAACTAGTTCGGTTTACGAACTTAAATATTAACTATCAGAACTTAGAAATCAGAGTGCTAAGAGTATTTTTGAGCTCTTTGATCTCCGAATATCTTGCGATAAACTTGTGTCCTTTGAGAAGTCTCTTCTCTTCCATATATATGAAATTTATGTCGGTCTAAGAGCATGTTTCTTTAGATCTCTTCTGATGTGGGACTTAAATATTTCCTTCTTTTTAAGCTGAGAGAAGAAAGTTTTCTTCTTCTTCCGGACGGATTTTTTCATCGACTTTTCCGTCGAGGGCCTAGGTCGGCCCACGAAATCGTTTGATCTAGTTTCCTTGTTACTCTTTTCATTAACCGGATTTTATCATACCAATCTCAGAGAATACCGGAAAAAACTAGAATGTGCAGTTTTCACCTCTAACACCTCGTATCTAGTTGTAATGCTGTTTCCCTTAAAAACTGTTCAATTCATATTCACCTATATCTAGAATAATGTTTTGCAGCTGGGAATTGGGGCTTCGCAGAAAACGTATGGACAAAGCCACCATTCTGTTATTGTGACCTCTGTCGTAAGCTATAATTATGTTGGTTCTTATCTCTTGCTTCCTCCAAGGTTCTTCTCTGCCTCTGAGATTGGACGAAAAGCACATGGCAATGGTCATGTTCTATCTCGGCCAGCATTTGTGGCTTTCTGAGTCGGCGACGATTTTGGTGGTGATGAATCCATGAGCGGCGGTGATGTTGGTTTAATTTTGTTATAATGTTGTATTTCAAAAACCAAAAAATAATTGTTTTGGTTTAGTTTGTAACAAAAATGTTAGTCAAATATATATATTATAATTTGAACTTACAATTAATATTAATTTGTTAATTTCAAATTTAATTGAAAATAATAAAAAAACTAGTAGGATATTTTCTAAAATTTTCCTCAAAATTTACAAACCAAAATTTTTAACGAAATTTTTCTATTAAATTTTTTGTATGAAATTTCTAACCATTTTTTTACTATTTTAAATTGTTGATGGTATAAAATCTACAAAAATATTTGATAGAAAATTAGTAAGAAAAATTATAAATTTTTAATCAGATAAATGGTAGGAATATGTGATATAATTTTGTAGTTAAGTATTGTATCATAAATGCAAACTGATTTCCTCCTTTTTGTGTGGAATTGAACGTACGAGAAACATATTCAACAGCAATCAAATTTAAGAAAATTTCTTTATCCGTGGACAAGAACTTTTTTTTATAAGAAATGGACTCTTGCGTCTTGGCCATGATACTGCAGAGCTTATATTTGTCTGAATATCGGGAACACGTTATTCGCTGAAAATTCTATTATTGGATAGGTGGTATCTTTAAGAAGTATCTCAGCATGAAAGAAAAAGATAGTAAAAAGATAAGAGAAAAGGTGAAGATCTATCGAGAACTCTTGTGAGAACGTCTTAGATCATGTCCAGTAGAGGTTTATATGGGTTTATGACCCAGATTTTTAGGTAAAAACAATTTAAAATAAATGAAAAAAATCTCATTTTTGACGAACCGACTCTTTCGGACGAGTTTGATGAACTCGCCTCTTAACCACGTGTAAGCTTCTAATTGGCCAAATATTATATTGTGTTTCTCGGACAATTTTTTATTTTCTCGACATTTTCATTTCTTCATTTCATTTCTCTTCGCCGACAATTTTTAATCGTTTTTCACGAATTCGATTCATCATCATCTCCTTCCACCATTTGTGATCCTTCCGTTTCTCTCTCTCTCAATTTCATCTGTTTCCTCCTCTTTCGTTGCTCTGAGAGGCATGATTTCGAATTTTTGGGTTTTTGTTAATGGAAATGCATGATTTCGAATTTTTGGGTTTCGGTTGATGGAGATTTTAATTAAACTTGATTGCTAGAACTCCCTACTAGGCTATGAACATTCCTTTTTCGAAATATCTGTGTGGTAGTATGTGAGCGGTTTTGATGGTGGTGTTCTCAATTTGTTTTTTGTTTCAATTTCTGATTTGTTTCGTGATATCCCAGATTTGGTTCTCTTTGATGAGTTTATAAGGAGAAGTATGCTATTTGAGAACCTTTGACTTTGATATATTGAAAAAGAAATACAAACTTGCTTCTCAAACTCGTACTTGTTTTCTTCTTTTAGAGGAATTGAGTTTGTTCATGGAGAAGCTGAATGATGTATATTACGTCGATGATGATGGTCAGCTTAATGATTTCCAAGTTGATTCTGGAACCTTGGCATGTGTGGCGTGTGGCGTTCTTGGCTTCCCCTTAATGTGTGTGGTACAGCCTTCTAAAAATGCATCTGTCAGCAAGACAAGGAGAGATAGGTAACATACACTCATTTTCAAGCAATAAACGCATACCAGAAGGTTTCCATTGCCTTGGTCATTACTGTCAGCCAAACAGTCAGCCATTGAGAGGCTTTGTTCTTGCAGCTCGAGCTAACGATCCTGATCATGATCATCGCCCTCCATTGAAAGAACCGGTGAAGTACACTTTAGTTTGGAGTTCAGATTCAGATTGCTACTTCTGGTTGTCTGTTCCTCCAGCTGGTTACAGAGCCGTGGGAGTGATTGTCACAGACGAAGCAGAGGAGCCTAAGGTTGAAGAAGTGAGATGTGTTAAAGAGGATCTTAGCAAAAAGGTTGTGTACTCGTCGAAACACAGGTTGATGCGTCGGCGCTTGCGTTTGTCAAAGGAAGCAACAAACCGGTACGTACTCGTCGAAACACGGACACGCGAGTTTTCTTCACCCTGGATTGTATCTTCAAGGCTCGTCGAAGCTAGGAATTGGAGTGAGAAATGATGCTGGGAAAAGCAAGTATGTGTTGAATTTTAGTCAAAGGTATAGAATTGTAGCAGCTGAGTATTTAGGGGAAGGAGCGGTTTCAGAGCCGTGCTGGCTGCAGTACATGAAAGAGTGGGGACCAACTATAGTCTATGATTCTGCAGCTGAGATTGATAAGATCATTGCAGTATCTATCTAGCCATTTGAAACTTGTTGTTAATTGTGTTTCTATACATTGTTTTTATACGAGATTGTGTGTATTTGCACGGTCCAGCTCACACCAATGCTGGTTGGTTCAATGATTTCTTGAACACAATCTTTTTGTCTTCAACGATGGTGGCGATGATGATTGCAGTGTTCTTGGACAATACTTATGCATATGCAATTGCGTAAATTTTTTTTTTTTTTTTGATGAACCTCTCTTTGAATTCGCCAATAGAACACAAAATATAACACAGGTTCTTCAATAAACTCAAAACAAAAAAAAATTTTATTTTATTTTGGTGAACCCCAAAGAGAGATTCACTAATGGACATGCTCTTATTGATGTTCTATGGGATACTCTGTAAAAAAAAAAAAAAAAAAAACCAATTGGGATACTCTCAGCAGTCAGCACCAAACTATTGCCTTGATCCTTTTCATATTTTTTTCTCGCATCGTCCAGGTATATAGCCTTTTGAAAATGTTGGTTCGTCACGTTGAGAGCCAACGTCAAATGTTTTAGGATGTCTCGTCTGGTTGGATGGGGCAGAATCCATTTAGCTAGACCTAGCGTGGAGCTCACGTTATGTTGATATATTGAATTCTGATTGAAATTTTTAGGAATCAGGACGTGAGATGTAAATGAGAAGTTCGGAAATCTAAATATATTATCCAAAATAACAAAACAAAATTCACGAGTATGGAACAAAAAAATATCCAATTCAATTTTGAAGTAAAATATAATCGGAAAAAAGGACGGATAAGGATTCAAATAAGAATTCGAGTAATTATTGTTATTCGTTTATTAATCACTTAAACTTTCGATAGTTTGGTGATAAAAAAAAAACAAGATCTCTATAGTTAATTATAAAGGTGAATCACCATAGCTAGTTATATATAGGTTTATTAATTTCATAGTCTACTTATTTGCAAATTGTTAATAAATTGGACTAAAATCAATATTTGTCAAAAAAAAAATTCAACTAATCAAAATCTCTAAAATTTCATTTTTAATAACTACCTATTACCTATTGAGAAGTTCGGATAATCTTATTCTTATCTTTATCCTTTCTTTTATCTATTCAAATATTATTTTTAGACCCGAATGAGATCCGGAAAAGTTGGGAAAAATCAAGACGGAGTGGATTATTCTTCCCAAAAAAATTCAGGCCTACTGACACCCAGTGGCGGAAGCAGATAAGCCACATATTTATGCTAAGATGCTACCTTTGATTAAATCTTGAATTCTTCAAAGTAAGAAGTTGAGGTTTATCCCAGAAAAGAGTATTTGTTTCAGTCAGGTTTCTAAGCTCCTCAAGCATAATTCCGAATGTCACCGTAGTTGAAAAGCTGCTCATTTTCCCTTGAACACTACTAGAAGTTTAATGGATCCATTACCGTTTCTGCAAAAAAAAAAAGTCATTTCAATCTGGATAATGGATTTTCCAAATGCGAATGTCATCACAAAATGATCATATCTGTATATCAAATTCAAGTAAGTCATGTTTGTTTGAAGAATCATTTGTATGATTTCTACGCTTACCACATAGAAACCAATGAGCAACGGGCATTCAGAACAGAGGTCGAAAATTAAGCCAAGAAATCATCGACTCTTCTATGTATCAGATTGGGAGAGTGACGAGAGTCTGTCAGCCACTTGCACTCTCTGTAAAATTATTAAGGACAAAAGTGGATAAAGTGATCAAAAGATGTATTAAGAACTTAAGACTTGTTTAAAGAATATATTCTTTTTATTAACCTTTAGAAAATTACTCAAAACTAAAGGCTTTCAAACTCATAAGTGTTGCAACAATCTCTGCAACTCCTTATATAAGTTTGGATTACTCCTAAACCCATTAGATAAACATAAAGAATATTTCCTAATTACTCTAGGTTATTTCATAATCCTTTTAGAAAATAGTTTAAGTTGACTTGCTACTTAAGTCATCTTCAAGTTTAATCCAACATTCTCCTCCTTAAGTTTGAAGTCTTTATTTGACACTTCTTGAACTCCTATGAGATCTCTCATCTCTTTGAATTTTATTCTTCCAAGTGTTTTAGTCAGTATATCAGTCTCCTGCTCTGCTCCAGGAACATGCTCAACATTCACTTGGTCATTCTCGACAAACTCCCTTATAAAGTGATATCTTCTGTGTATATATTTACTTCGACCATGAAACACCAGATTTTTGGTGAGTGGAATTGCAGATTTATTGTCAATTCTAACTGTCACCTTCTCACAAGATGTTCCTACAACTTCACTAAGGAGTTCCTGAAGCCATATTGCATGTTTTGCAGTTTCTGTACCAGCCATAAACTCGGCCTCACATGATGATAGAACAACAGTTTTTTGCTTTTGCGAACACCAAGTAATTGGACATTCATTTAGATAAAAGATGTGGCCGGTTGTACTCTTACCATCATCTATGTCCACATTGTGGCTGCTATCGCTGTTAGCCTATAAGTCCAACTTCTGTTGATTCCATTCGCTTGAATGTAAGACCGTACTTGAGAGTTCCCTGTAAATACCGCAGAACTTGCTTCAAATATGCTCCATGTGACTCCTTGGGTTCCTGCATAGTAACTCAGAACACCAATACAGTAAGAGATATCTGGTCTTGTGTGAAGCAAATATCACAGACATCCAATGTTTCTTCTGTATTCTTTTTCATCGATACTCCATTTTTCCGGTGCTTTATGCAATTTCAAACCTGAATCTATTGGAGTGTGAACTACATTACACTCTCCCATTCCTGTTTCAGCCAAGATTTTAGTCGTATACCTCTCTTGGTTTAGCATGATACCACATTCATGTTGTAGAATTGCGATGCCGAGGTAGTAAGTTAACTTTCCCAAGTCACTCATCTCGAATTTCTTTGCCATTCTCCTTTTGAACTCCGAAATCGAACTCAGACTTGATCCTGTGACGAGTAAATCATCCACATATACAGCAACTAGAAGCAGGTGTTCCTTCTTTTGTTTTCGATACAAAGAAGGTTCTTTGGAGCATTTAGTGAATTTCAATTCTCGCAGGATCTAGTTCAACTTTTCATTCCAAGCTCTTGGTGCTTGTCTAAGTCCATACAAAGCTTTGTGTAGTTTATACACTTTTCTTTCAAGTCCTTCGATCACAAACCCTTCAGGCTGAGCAGCATAAACTTCCTCTTTCAACGTTTTTATATCAAGGTGATGCACTTTCCACCCTTTTGAGCCTGCTAAGGCAATGATGAATCTGATTGTCTCAATGCGAGCTACAGGTGCGAATACCTCATCAAAGTCAATGCCATGCCTTTATACATACCCTTTGGCCACAAGTCTAGCTTTATATTTGTTTATACTGCCATCAGAGTTGCACTATCTTAAAAACCCACTTTAATCCAATGGCCTTTGCTCCTATAGGAAGATCGACAAGATTCCAGGTTTTTTTCTTAGTAATAGATGCCATCTCTTCTTTGCAAGCATCTCTCCATACTCTTAATTCCATTGCTTCTTTCAAATCCCATGGTTCTTCATTCATTGCTAACAATAAGCGCTCTCCCTCTATCTCTGCTAAGCAAACAAAATCCTCTAAGTAACCAGGCTTTCTTATTACTCTTGATGACCTTCTAAGTGAAGGCTGTTCTTGTATTTTTTTCCTCGGTGCTCTCTATTTCGCTCACATCTTCTTCTGCAGCAACTCACTATCAGAATCATCATCATCGTTTCTTTCTCTGTTTTTTGGGAAGCTTCTTCTCCTCGGGTCCCTCATGTTGAAGTGTGAATGTTGCAAATTCATTAGTAATGCTTGTTCCTTGGTTATTCCACTTCCACCTTTTCTTCTTGTGAAAAACTACATCCCTGCTTACTACAACCTTTCTTGTTTGTGGATCCATTAGTCGATAGGCCTTCAATCATGGTTATGTCCCTAGATGCACAAGCACTCTTGATCTATCATCCAGTTTCCTTAGATGTGGTGCCTTTTTTTTTGCATAAACAATGCACCCAAATACACGAAGATGTTCGATGTTTGGGCGTTTCCCTTTAAACGCTTCGTATGGTGTTTGTGCAGCTAGTGACCTTGTTGCGACTCGATCCAGAAGATAGGTGGCATGCCTGACTGCTTCTCCCCAAATGTAATTTGGTATCCTCATGTGCTTCATAATGCTGCAAGTCATCTCCATCAAATTTCTATTTCTCCTCTCTATTACCCCGTTTTGTTGCGGTGTATAAGGGACGGTTAGATGTCTCTTTATTCTGGAATTGTCACAAAAATCCTGATATTCTTGTGATACAAACTCTCCATCTCTATCTGTTCGCAATAAATTTATGATGGCCCCTGTTTTATGCTCGACTACTGCTTTGAATCTGTTAAATTTTTCACTCTTCTCTCTTCAAAAGGAATGACCACATATATCGAAAATGATCATCGATCAGTACAAATACGTATCTGTTTTTTTTGCAGCCGTAGGAGGTGTAATGGGTCCACAAAGATCTCCATGAACAAGCTAAAGTATGTTTGTGGCCTGATATGATTTGCAGGTTTCTTTCTAGATTCGATGTTAGGTATTTCTGTGACTAATTCCTTTTTTTATCATTGTCTTCATAGTCTCTGAGGCAATATGTCCTAACCTCGCGTGTCACTTTGATGAATTGCTTAATGCCGTGATCTGTAAGCACTTAGTGTTTCTCCAACTCCATGATTACTTTGTATAAGAAATTCTTTGACCTGTTTGCCTTTACAAGGAGTCTTCCATCTCGATTATGTAGTGTTAGATAATCTTTTCTCATTCTAACATCGCAACCAGTCTCTGTAGCTTGTCCCAAGCTGATAATGTTACTTCTTAGGTCTGGTATGAAGTATACAATGTCAAGCACCTTTCTTTTCCATCTTTACTGACAAAAAGGATCGATCCTTTGCCCTTTATGTCTATGCGTGAGTCGTCTCCGAACCTTACTTTGAATGTGGCCGTCTTGTTAATCTTTGAGAAATAGTGTCTGTTTCCAGTCATATGGTTACTAGCACCATTATCCAAATATCAAACATTGTCTCCATCGAGACTTGTTTCAAACTCGTTTAGCTTCACCTTTTCTCATATAGATACACCACCTCGTACATCATTAGTTC